AGTCAGTACAACAACAATTTTGCCATAAATATTATTAACCATGATAATAATAAATTATTTATTACCAGACAATGAAGAAAAATGTGACCCATGTTAAGAAAAAACCCCAGCCAACATAAGTAGATTTTCACATGACTCAGATGCTGGAATTAGCAGATAGAATTGAAATAATTATTATCATTAAGAGTTAAGGAAAAGATAGTACTAATGAGTGGCTATTTCAGCCACTGAATTGAAAGACTACTAATTGAAAACTATTAATAAATAAAGAAATGGAAATTTTAAAACATAAAGCATAATATCTGATGTGAGAAATCCACTGAATGGGCTTAAAAACAAATTGAAGAAAAGTAGACACATAGATCAAATAATAGAGAACCCAGAATTAAAACCACACTATATATGGTCAATTAATATATGACAGAGGAGGCAGGACTATAGAATGGGGAAAAGACAGTCTCTTCAATAAGTGGTGTTAGAAAAACTGAACAGCTATATGCAGCAGAGTAAAAGTGGATCATTGTCTTATACCATACTCAAAAATAAACTCAAAATGAATTAAATACCTAAATGTAAGACCTATAACTAAAAATTCTAAACACAGGCAATAAACTCTTGAACATCAGTGTTAGTAATTTATTTTCTGGATATGTCTCTCCAGGAAAGGAAAACAAACCCCAAAATAAACAAGTGGGACTGTATCAAACTAAAAAGCCTCGGCACAGCCAAGGAAACCATCAACAAAATAAAAAGGCAACCTGCTGAATAGGAGAATATATTTGCAAATGATATATCTAATAAGGGGCTGATATCCAAACTTAATAAAGAAATCATACAACTTAATACCAAAAAATAAATAAACAAATGATCCAATTAAAAAAACAGGCAGAGGACCTGAATTGACATTTTCACAAAGAAGATATATACATGGTTCAGAGGCACATGAAAAGATGCTCAACATCACTAATCATCAGGGAAATCCAAAACCACAGTGCGATACCACCTCACATCAGTCAGAATGGCTAATCTCAACAAGATAAGAAATAGCAATTGCTGGTGGTGGAGAGAAGGGAATCCTCATACACCAATTCAATACACCAAATATGAATCGGTGTACCCACTATGTAAAGCAGTTTGGAGGTTTATCACAAAACTAAAAATAGAAAGAATACCACAGGATACAGTAATTCCACTTCTAGGAATCTACCTGAAGAAAACAAAATCCCTAATAAGAAAAGAAATATGCACTCCTATATTTGTTGCAGCATTATTTTAAATAGGCAAGATTTGGAAGCAATAGGTGTCCAGCAATAGATGAATGAATAAAAAGAAAGAAGATTTGGTACATGTATACAATGGAATATTACTTGGCCATAAAAAATTTAATCTTGCCATTGACAACAATGTGGATGGACCTAGAGGGTATTATACTAAATGTAGTAAGTCAGAGAAAGAGAGGCAAATACCATATGGTTTCACTTTTTATATGTGGAATCTAGAAAATAAAACAAATGAATAAGCAAACAAAACAGAAACAGACTCATAAACACATAGAACAGACTGGTGGTTGCAACAGGTGAAGGGGATTTAGGGAATGAGTGACAGGTAAAGTTAACAAAGAGATACAAATTCCAATTATAAAATAGTCAGGGAGATGAAAGTACAGCATAGGGAATATAGTTAATAATATCGTAATATCTTTGCATGTTGACAGATAGTAACTACACACTACAAGTGGTGAGCATTTAATAATGCATATAATTGTCAAATCACTATGTTGTACACCTTAAACCAATATAATATTGTATATCAACTACATTTCAACTTGAAAAAAGCTGATTAGAGGGAGCAGGTGAAAAGGTAAATGAACCTGAAGACAAATGAATAGAAATTATGTAATATAAGTAAAAGAGTGAAATTTAAAAAATTACAGAGCATTATTGACCTGTGAATCAATATCAAGTACTCTAAAAACATGTATTTGGAATCCCAAGAAAGGAGAGAGAAAAGGTACAGATATAATGTTTAAGGGAATAATGGTCAGGTCTCTTTTTCCAAAATTTGACTTAAAATACACTACTTGTAAACTCTAACTGATAAGACAAGAAATAAATAAATTAATGCAGGAAAGAAAGAAAACTGTCTTTATTCAAAGACCACAAAATTTTGCATGGGAAAAGACTTAGAGAATTTTAAAAGAAATTACTATACAAATTGTATAAACAATTTTTCCTCTAAAGCTATAGTAATCAATAAAATGAGGGATTGAGATAAAAGGAGACAATCAGTGGAAGAGAATAAATGTCTAAAATTAGATACAACCATATATCGTGAATTGCTTTTCAATAAAGGACCCAGGAAATCCAGTGGATAAATGAGTCTCCCCAATAAATGGTGGTGAAATAGGTGGATATATGCATAGAAATAATGAATTTTGAACTCCACCAAATACTACATACAAAACTTCAAGCATGTCACAGACCCAAAGGTAAAATTAAAACTCAAAAAGTTCCAAAAGAAATCCTAGAATAATTTCTTTGAAAGTTTGATAGTCAATGATTCCTTAAGAAAAAAATAAAACAAAAAAAGCAAAATAAAACTAACCATAAAAGAAAAAAAGGACAAATTAAACTTCAAAATTCAATATTTATTTTTATCAAAAGTCAACAGAAAGAAATGACAGGGCACATTACAAACCCGGGGAATATATTTTTAAAATATACACTTGACATTGATTTATAACCAGAATCTTCAAAGAATTCTGACAAATCAATTAGCAAATAACTCAATAAAAAATAGATAAGAGCTTGCAAAGACAGTTCATTAAAACAAATATATCAATGTCCAATAAATATATGGAAAGCTGCTCAGCATCATTAGTTACTAGGGAAATATTACCACAAAGAGATAGCTCTTTATCCACATTAGAATGGGTAAAATTCAAGTTAATATTCCCTTCTAATTCTTATCTCTTAGCTATCCTAAACACCCCTCCCTTGGAAAACAGTTGTGGACTCAGGTGTACTAGAAACATTTTGTATGTATGTGAACATACAAAACATACAGTTGTGTTTCCTTTTTAAAATGTAAGTATCAGCATACACTATATCCTTTATGTACCTTTATTTGGAGATCTGTCCATATTAGCACATAAAGAGATTGATCATTAGCATATATAAAGGGATTGAACAACTGCATTATGTTCCATTTGAGGCTTCAATCTAGCACTATAAAAATCATTGAATCATATGGTTCAAATCTTCAATACCAAAGAATTATTTCTATATTTGCCCATTAATGAATGTTACTAAATACACAGCTGTAAAAATTCTCAGAAATGTATGCACAGCTAATGATGTATTTTAAAATTCCAAGATACAAACCTTAATTTCAGAAAGTGTACTCCTTCTTCACGTGCAGCTTAACTGTAATATGTATGCATAGTACAGTACTTACAAAACTAGAAATAGAACACAGTGGGAGGTTCTAATGCGCACTGCTTTTGAGTCAGAGATGAAACCACCTGGAGGTTCTGAGCTTAAAAGAAATATCTCACCACTGGCTTTCCTTCATTTCCCCATTATTTCCTCAGAGAGAGCTCAAGCCTTGGCTTGTGGACCTCTCAGAGGGACTCAGGAAAGGCAGAAGTTACTTACACACCATTGTTCTGTATCCAAACTAATACTGGACTCAATAGATGGTATGACCTGGAGCAGAGCTGCTATAAAAATGTAATTCTCCTTTAACCCCTCCATGTAAATCATCAGAAAACTTCTCTTCATTGATTTAAACAAATTTGGTCTTTGACCTCAAGAGTCAGAATTGGCCTCAACAACTCTTTCAGATGGTTGTAGTAATGATTATTTGATGTATGTCAACTACCATAAAATGCAGTACTGTTTCATGACAGATCTTCAAATAATGCCACATATGTCCAAAGTCATGGTAACAGTCTTTCTATCCCCAGTAAATCAGTAGCATGAAATTCTGCAGATTAATGAAGTAATGTACTTTATTGTGTCAAGGTTTGGCTTCTACTGGAGCTGTGATTTGTGGTATTGTGCAAGCAGTTGTAACACCTGTCAATGTGCTTCCTATAGAACTTCAAAAGGTTTTCAATAAGTACCAAATGCTTGAAAGGGTCCTCATGAATATAAGTAAGAATTTTTCTGGGTCTGTGATTTTTAGTATTTAACAACCAGATCAGTACAATAGTTCATAAAGCAATCAGTTCCTTAATGATCTATCTGCAGACATTAAAGTCTGACAATTTGAGATACCACAGAAGACTCAAGAAATTATATTTGTTGACTCTTTTGGGGGGAAAAAGGCCTAACAGTATATTGAACACTCTTTAAATAAAACCCAAACTCTAAAATTAAAACAAGATTTTTCAACCAAAAAATATTTTGATAATTTCTTCAAGCATTAAACTTTCTTCAAGGAGTTTCCAAGGCATTCCCACTGACTGGTATGTATATATACATGGCAGGAATCTTATATATATATATATGTTTATATATAAATAAAATGTATAAATATTATATATATTGTTTATTATTATATAATAAATTATAGGTATAATTTTAAATAAGGTATTATAAATATTTGTTAAATATATAAATATAAAATTTCTGAACATATAAAATATATAAATTTATAACTCTAAATTGAAATTAATGTCAATATATTTTGGTAAACAATGTTTAATAAACTATAACACAGGAAGGTATTGTATTGAATATAGTATTAAAATGTTTTGGTACTTAATAGTTCAAAAAATTGTTTTATTTAATTGAGACCAACTGGCCTCATTGCTTCTTATAAACTTTGCAATATATATTCAATAAAAAGGAATAAAAATGAACAGATGTTTCTCCTTAGAGAAGGCAGACAAAGATTTTTCTTACACAATAAATCAGCTGCTAGTAGATTTCCAGGACATTGCTTCAGGCTATTTGGGTATAGAACTTAAAAAAAAGAGAAAAGAAAATATTTACCTCTGTGTGGATCCAAAATTGGTAGAGGAGATTGAACTGAAGATGAACAGCATATACTGAAGGTGGTATGAAGAGGGCCAGAGGAGAGTAGAATATCTGAAAGAGTAAATTTTTAAAAATTTGCAGTTATGATTTCTTAACATAATATACTATTACCAATGGTACATTATAAGTATATATTCCAGCAAATATACCTTATTTTTTAGCAAATATACCTTATTCTGTGCATTTTATTGCACGTTTGACTTTGCAACATTTCCACATGGTGATAGTTACAGACATGTTTGAGCTAAGTCTACTAGACTTCTATTTTGCACTTAATATTGTCCAGTTAAAATAGCACATGTGCTATATTATTTCCTTACTCTTTGAAAGGTTACATGTGTTTCCTGAAAATAGAGGTTTTTTATATACACACAAATAAATAAATACTTTCTTTAAGTGAAAGAAATGTAGGAGAATGTGCTTTTACACCTTGACAGTTTCCAAACTCTATTGTTACTTGGTATTCTTAGTAATAAAATGAAATTGTAAGAAAAGTAAGAAAAGGTTAGAATAAATTTCCTCTTTTAAATTTGTTTTTATATGTTTGATTGAGAGCATAAAATCGTCTCAGTTTTTCATAGTAAGGAAGAAGCTCTGATATGGTGCAATAATGGAAACAAATTTTAAAGCTCCATTTTTCTTAATGGATGGAAATGCCTGTGCCTTGGAAAAACAACTTACGCCTAAACCACAGAACTGGTTAGAATCAACTAATAAGCACAATCTGCTGTATTCTCCTAATGATTTTGATCCCTAAGAGTGGTTTCATGCTGTAAGAAAACATCTTATTAAATGAAAAACTAAACAACCAACCAGGAATAAAAATAATACAACTTCCAATTTATAATTTCAGGATTTTTAAAGTTAATATGTTAATATTTCCAAAAGACTAAGTACTTTAGAAACACTCCTTCTGAATATTACAACTTGATTTTAAAATTATTTTAAATATTTTTTCTCAATTAGGCCAAATATTATTTCAGTGATGTTTAGTAATCATTATGCATTTGAAACTGGCCATTTACATAATCTCTTCTAGTTTTTATTTCAAACCTTAAGTCAAGAAAAATCTCAATTGTCATCACAAGCAGGATCAGTTTCATTATTTATAAATGTACTATTAATCAATGGATCAGATTAGTGAGCAACAAAATATCAGGCTCTTATTCAACATATCCACTTTCGAGCCTTGGCTGTACTATAGAATCTCTCTGAGATAATTCACAAAGTTTCTAAATTTCTTTAGACAGTTGCCTCAAATGAATCATAAAGGAGAAAACCATTCAAAATCTAGCCATGTTTCTGGTCCCAAAAGATCTGTGGTACTGTGATTAAATTTTTTTGAAATATATCAAAATTGTTTTTTTACAGTACAAGAGTAAAAGTATTTGAAACACATATATAACCTATGATTTAAATATTTTAAGTTAAGAAGCATTTTGGAATCTTTGAGATGTAAATAGAAACGTAAAACAACTTATCTTCGAAGCTTAATAAATAGTTCTATTTGTAAAGAGAGTGCATATATACCAGATGAATATTTGTAGTTAATTATAACTCATTATAATTCTCAAAGTGTGGAGAAATAATCCTTTGAGATAATAACAGCTATTACGGCAAAGGGATTTCTAGCGGCAAACAAGTTGTGAAGTGGTAAATAAACCAAGTGAAGTTTCTTGGCCACAGAATTTAGAATCTTTATCATGCAAATGTAAACCACAGTCTTGTTAGTCCATAAAATACTTTCTTGGATTACATTTCCTAAAAACACATTTGATGAAACAATGTCTGAAATCTTAAAAATCAGTTAATATAATGAACCAACAATAAAAAAATAATAATCTCAGCATGAATTCCAAAAAAAATGACATTTCTAATAGAAATAAACAACTAGTAGTAATAGAAGAAGTAAAGATATAGGTCAGAGAGTCAGTCACATGAATCACATGAAAGTTAATGTCTTGTGATTAATACTGTACTTTAAAAGATTTAATGATACAATCAAGGTTATAATTTCTAAAATTGAAAGCAGCTTTGTAAATGCTGGCCCGGTCTGAAAATTCTCAGTCATCTTCTCTGCCTCCAGTCTTCATATTCCCTCGTCCTCTATAGTTTCTAAAATGAATTTAAACGCCACTTCCATCATAAAGCCTCAAATATTACTAATTTGGTGGAAGAAATTTCTCCTTCCTCAAACTTAAACTCTCAGAACTTGGGTCAGGGCATATTATACTGTTTACTAAATACATCCATTTCTACCATGCATTCAAGCCCATGTCCTCGATTCCAATACCCTTTAGCCTTAAATCACACCATCTACCCTTTATTATCTTTTGTTAGAAGTCATATGTAATAGAGTCATAAAGGAGAAAAAGAACCCAGACCTCTATGTGTGAGAAGAGAATGAGGCTAGGATTAAAGGTGACCTTAGTCTAACGGACAGCTGAGTGGGTTTCAGTCTATCATCAAGGAAATGGGCAGGCAAGGGCTGTCTGAGGAGACATCATGAAGCAGGATGTGGCCGGGTGTTGAGGGGGAACTATAAGTATTCTGGTCTTGCTGAAGGCACTGGAGAGTATGGCAAGAAATTGATTTGGACCATGGGATTCAGGGATAGAGCTCAGTGAGTCTTTGAACCCCCTTGACATCACTACAAAAAAGTGTTAGTTTGTGTGCATGGAGAAACATGCAATTTTCTGAAAAACAATCTATTGCTTTCTTCAAGGAGGCTCTGATGAATCTGTGACTCGGCACAGCCAAACAAAAACAGAAGAAAATTTAGACATTGGGCAAACCAGGGAGGGGAACCTTTTAATGCCATTCTAAGGAGCCTGGATTTATCTGAGGCCTTGAGGGAGAATTAAGGTTTTACTTTTTAAGCTTGTAAGAAAATAAAGATAGATTTGAAACGTCATTTTAATAATGCACATTTAACCATAATAGTAGCCATGATCAGGATGGGAGAGGCAGCACACAAGAGATCACAGGATTTGGTGACTAGTTAAGCACAGGAGATGAGGACAGAGGAATATCAGAAGATACCCAGATTTCTGGCTTATAAATCAGGTGATGGTCACCAGGATGGTGAAAAAGAAAAAGAACAGGCTTATCAAGTTCAATTTAGGGAATGCTGTGTTAGAGTTCTTGAGGTATATCCCAGGAAAGTGGCTGAGTAAGCAAGTATGCTGTGCAAATATCAAGTGAACTGAAAAAATGACACTGGGTTTGCAGGTATAGATCAGTGGAGCAGCAGGCCTGGAATTCAGACCTCAAAAAGCTTAAGAATCACTCAAAGGTGATGAAATGCAGGTAAGGATAACTTATTTTTCTCTTTCCCTGAGAGCAAGAAAAGGGGACCTGGAGGGATTCCTCAAATTGAATATATGTATGAGGATGATTTTATTGGTTTATTCATTTATGTGAGAGACATGAATATATTTATGGCATATTCAGGAGTCAGTCGAGAGGAAGAGGGACAAATGTCAAAAGTAGCTGATTGGACAAAGTCCAGGAGAGGAACTGAGACAGGAGCAAGGTCACCAACGTTAAGGGTTAGAAATTCTGAAGAAAGGGGAACACTTTCTATAAAATTATATGTAACAAAGCATGTGCACTTGTGAATTTACCAATCTTAATGAAATATCTGAACAGAAATGAGAGAGAAGGAAAATGGGAAAAAGTCACATTTCTCTCTTTTAAATACACACCTGACAGAAAGGGGGTAGCAGAAGAAAAGGGATCCTCAGAAGACTGTGGGATTCTGGAAAGGCTTCTCCCAGCTAGGGAGGTGGCTCACGTTCATAGGCCAGTGAGCAGCACTGACAGCTCAGCTGTGTTTGGAAGCCGCACAGGGCAGAGCACCACACTGCCCAGCTGGTGCCAGAGGGCACCCACAGTGCTCAGCAACCTGGGTGTGGAGCGAAGTTGGTGGGTGAATGGATCCAAGCACGGCTTGAGGATTTCAGGGCAAATGTTAACAATAGGAGGTAGACTGTACTTTCTAAAGTCATGGAAATTAAGCATGTTATTAGGCTGGATAAAATAGGAAATAAAGCCACGGGGCTTGGTGAACAGGGAGAAAAACCTGGGGGAGGAAAGCTGTCCACCAGTTAGCTGTTGAACAGGATGTTTAAAGTTAAGTATATAATTACTTTAAGGAAATGAAAAAAACCTCTTGAGCTGCAAGATTCATGTCTACTTTATTTTCATAGAGTAGCTTAAAATTACTAATTTCTGTACTTCTGTAATCCTCATTTTTGCAATATTAAAGAAATTTTCATTTGAATTGAGAAACTAAGATTGAATAATCAAGTATACTGATCCACATTTCTAAAGACTATGATTAGTAATAACACAAAACCAAATCCTCTGATTACAAATAGAGTACTGATGTCTATCCTTAAAACACACCTAGTTAAATTATGTTTGGAGTAAGTGTTTACATTTTTAATTAGAAAGCCCTATTTAGTTTCTATTTAGAAAAGTCTTTAGGTAATATAGGCCCATCTTTCTGTTTCCATTTCTATGCACTTACCAATTCTCCCTGTTTCCCAGTCCACCTTCTTATACATCCTATATTCTATAGCCATACTTACACTCTTATGGGTTGAACTGATATTCAAAAAGATATGAGAGGTCCTAGCCCCCTAGTACCTCAAAGTGTGACCTTATTTAGAGATAGTGTATTTACAGAGTTAAGTTAAAATGGGGTAATTAGGATGGATTCTAATCCAATATGACTGGTTTCCTTATTAAAGGGAAATTTGGACCCAGACACAGGCATGCACACAGGAAGAACTCCATGCAAAGATGAAGGCAGAGCTCAGGGTGATGTGTCCACAAGCTAAGGACCAAAATTGCCAGCAAACCATGAGAAGCTAAGGGAGAAGCATGGAACTGATTCTCTCTCACAGCTCTCAGAGACCAACCCCATCACCACCTTAATCTCAGATTTCTAGCCCCCAGAACTGTGAGACAATAAATTTCTGTTGTTCTAAGCCAGTTTTTGGTACTTTGTTATGGCAGCCACAAGAAACTAATATACATACCAT